GGCCTATACTCGAATCCCTTGGAATTCTAAATGTCTTTGGTTTTAGGACATGCATGAGAGGCAAATTCCTACCTAGGGTCCTGCAGTATTTCAGTTCTATGTCTTCAGACCTGAATTAACAATCCAGCAGCTCTCTTGCATTCCAGCAGCACTGAGAGGGTCACAGGGAGTCGCCCAGAGAACTAGGTGGGCTTGATTCCTTTGTCCTGAGCCAGCTCTCCACGGACTGCTCTCAGTTAGCAGACTGGGAATGGAGTGTCCACTTGAAAACAACGTGCTCTTCATTATAATGAAACACACACAAGCGGCTTGAGTTTAATTTTAGCTTCATTTATGTATCGTAGGAGATGTGGAACTGTTTCTGGGTCCAAGAAATCATACTGTAAATTGAGCTAATTAGGTTGTTTAAAAAAAAAAACCTTTAATCCCATTGATTTGAGTTTAGAGAGGAGAAAACAAGTGTTGTGGCTAAATAAAACTCCCAGTGGGCGGGGTGGACAGCAGAAGGCTGCCGTTAAATGTCCTCGGGGCCTCAGGGATTTCTTTTACGGGGCTTTTGATCATCAGACCTTTCATTTTTCAAAGGAAAAAAAAAATAACCGTAGCCTAATACTACTGGCAGTTTTCTCCATATATAGCAAGAACTAAACCTCTCTGATGCTCTTAAAGGAAGTGTTAAATCCTCTATCATTCATCAACCTTTTGAGTACCTACTACATGCCAGGCACTACAGCAACAACATGAATAGGTTAGAGAGAGGCTCTATCCCCCAAACCCAGTGCCTGGCGAGTTGCCCCGCACATCGTAGGTGCGTGATAAAAACTTGTCGAATGAATGAGTGTAATAAAACCATTAATTAATAGTTTGCCATCACAGCATTTCAATGAATCCTATTACATTTTGACTTGTCCTAGAAGTGGCCAGCCAAGCAGATCTCAGGCCTGGAGGAGACTATGGGGATGTTTGACTTACCTGTCAGTGAAGAGGTGACCCAGTGTGGCAGCTGAGACCATGGGCTATCTAAGGCAGAATCCCATCTCCACCTCTTTCTAGTCATGAGACCTGGGCAAGTTACCTAACCCTGCTGTGCCCCGGTATTCTCATCAGTGAAGTGAGGACGGTAGTGGTACCCGCGCCGTGGGACTGTTGTGGGGATTAAATGTGTGAACTGCTTGGTGAAGCATTGATGCCCTCTGAACGTTAGCTGCCACCGTCTGGGCCTTGGTTACTCAAACTCCCCTAACACCACTTGTAAGATACATGCGGGGTGAATATACTCATGTGCATAATTGCTAGTCCTTCCTTTGCATCCCAGACAACAGAGTAGGTCCTCATTGTTACCATTTGCATATGACTAGCCCAGAAGTCATGTGTGGCCCCTGGAAACCGAAAGACCCTGTGGTCTAAACCTGAGAGGGTACAGTGGGGCTTAACTTCTAGGGAGGGTCCAAACCTTCACGCAACATCAGCAGTAGGAGATGGTCCACAGCTCTTACTGTAGATGCTACAGTGTCTTCTGAGGTAGATGGAGCCCGGTGGTGTGGAAATTGTTTATTCTATAATTGGATGCTCAAGAATCAGAAAGCATAAAGAGTATAATTTGTACGTGTCTTCCCCATGGTGGGGAAGTCTTATTAAAATGCAGATTCCTGGGCCTTCACTTCCATCTGCCCTTCCTTCTGATTCAACATCTCTGGGAGGAAGCCCGAGAATGTGCCCAGAAATCTGCTTTTTTAACAAGCAATATGATGGGCAAAGTAAGTAGAGCGCACATTGAGAAACTCTAGTTTTTGGAACGTGACATGGAGGATTTGGGGAACTTTATCTTTTCTTCACTCTCCTTCTCTTCCTTCCACAGATCACTGGGCTTCTCCTGAGTCGTCTGGCTCCTTCTTTTCTCTTGAGGAGAGACAAAGTGCTGGCCCAAGCCTCCCACCCTGGTGGGCGGGGCGGGCCTTGACTCAGTGGTCTGTATCCTCATGGCCGGCTGGCCTAGCTGAGTTGGGAGGTGACCCTTGGCTCACAGGTTGGGCAGCGCCTGTCAGTCTCGAGGCTCAGCTTGGCTCCTTTCCACTGACATGGCCTTGACCTTGGCCAAGTGCCTGCAGTAAAGGGAGGCGCGGAGGGGTTATCTGTAAAATGCAGGTACTTCCTTCCCCGTGGGAAGGATCCCACTGCACCGACTGCCTGGTGCACAGTGAGCACTCCAGAAACGGTGGGGTTGTTATCATTCCCATAAAAGGCACACAAGGCCCCTTTGGCTTTTGTGGTCTGGGGAGCCACGGCCGGTTCCCATGGCACCCAGTGAAGTCACGGGCAGGGCTGATGGCTGTGGGCAAATAACCCAAGGCTCAGGCCCCACACGGTCAAAGCATTTTAAAGGCCTTGTATTAGAAAAATAAACCAATTAAATAATACTGCCCCCCATAAAAGCAGACTTTTAATGGATTCCATGGTAGGTTTTTCACCGCGGCGGTCCCGGAGCCATGGGCCTCGATGAGCCTGTCTGCCGCCATAGGGAGAATTTAATCTTGCCCGGCGTGGGCATAATTTTACGAGTTTTATGGCTGTTTTTACTTCTCCGAAGTGTTGCTATGTCATTGTGCACCAAGGGCAACTTGCGTGCATTTAACAGTTTACCTCCTTTTTGGTGGAAATGAAAAATGAAGTCATAAATTAAAGAAAAACACAACATAGAATTTTTTTTTCCCTCTTCTTGGGGCAACTGGAGGAACAAAGAACCAGTGTTTCTCTGTACAGCCTGATCAAATTCTAATGGCTTTAATGTATTGACATTTGCCTGTGATTCTGCCCTCCGCAGGGAAGACTGTGGGCATGTTTGGAGCTTGTACTACTGACCCTGAGAAGACCTGGAGCGGTTCTCTAGGGCAGGGGTTGGCAAACTCTAGCCCAAGGGCCGAAGCTGGCCCACTGCCCATTTTTGTTCATTGGTGGAAAAAACTCAAAAGAAGAATAATATTTTCTGACACATGAAAATTAGATGACATTTTCCCAGATTTCCGTGTTCATCAGTGAAGTTTTGTTGGCGCCTGGCCACACCCATTCATTTCGGTATCTTTTGGTAAGGCTTTCACACCATGATGGTCCTGCGGAAGAGTTATGACAGAGGCTGCAGGGTGCAAAGCCTAAATACTGTCTGGTCCCTTACAGAAAATTCTGCTGACCCCTGCCCTAGGAAGTCAAGGAAAAGGAAAGAGAAAACATGGCATCTTGTTTCTGGGCATTGATGATTGACTTGCAGAGTTTCCATGTGGCTCAAAGTGACAAGTCAACAGAGGCTCACCTGAGCAGCAGTTGTTCCTCCGGAGACCTTCCAGATGTCATCAGCTGCTTGTGGATGACTCTCCTCCCTTTCCCGACCTCAGATTAACTTCTGAGCAGAGGTCCCTGGGCTTACCCCCTGCAGCCAGCCCTCCCAGTCATTTGAGCTGCACCCTGCTTGAGGTCTGGTTTCTCCTCATCAGGCCCCTTGATAGCCACGAATAGAGAAGTTTCTGCCTTCCTCCCAAGGGGATCTTAAATAGCTTCTGAAATTTGTCACCTACACTTTTAAACTCTGGCTTTTTGCCAGGCACACTTTTAAGCATTTTGCACATAGTAGTTACTCCTTTAATCTTCACATCCAACCCAGGAAGTTAGATGCCTCTCATTCCCATTTTACAGACAAAGAAGCAGAGGCACAGAGAGGTTAGGTAGTTTCCCTAAGGTCACACAGCCGGTAGTAGTAGAGCCAGTATTCAAACCCAGGCTGTCTGTTCCAGGGAATGTCCTGCTCTCCATTTGCTGCCTCTGTGGAGCAGGTGAGTTCTTTAGGCTCATGGAAGAATCTAGTTTTCCTTTTTTCACTCATGCCATTGTTGCACCTTGAACCATAAGAAAACTGCCTAGGTATACTTGAGCAGAAAGCCCCATTTATTCTTCCCCTATCTCTCTTTTTTTCCTCTCTCCTTCCTTCCCTTCTTCCTTGCCTCCCTTCTTCCCTCCTTCCTCCTTCTCTGCTTCCTTTTTTCCTTTCCTCTTTCCTTTCCTTCCTCTTTTCCTCTCTCTTTCTTCCCTTCCTTCGCCTCCTCCCCTCCCTTTCCTTCTCCTTTCCTCCTTCCCTCTTTCCTTCTCTCCCTCTCTACTGCTCTCTTTCCTTCCCTCCTACCTTCCTTTTTTCCTTCCTTCCCTCTCTCCCCATTTCGTCCCTCCCTTCCTCCTTCCTCCTCCCACCAACAAATAATGATCAAGCCCATGACTATGCTTTACACAATGCATGAGGGGCTACACAGAGTGAACAAGAAAAATGAAAAGGAAAGAATTCATTGCCATTTAAAAAGAGCTCTTAGTGGCTTCAACGTTGGTGGGTTTTGAGGAGTTCACTTAATTCCTCCTCTTTTATTAATTGTAAGTACCATCTCTGTCTGGACCCGTAAACTCTTGTCTTTTCTGCTTCATGCTGATATTTTCACTAAAAATAACATAATTTAGGAGAGGCTTTGGGGAGGCTGGGCCTCTGACCTATCCAGTGGGAGGAGCCTCCTGGGGAAGGACCTGCCCGTTCTCAGAAGCCCAGCTTCCAGGGACTAGGAATAAAAGGTCATTGACTGTTGCTGGAGAAGTCTGCGGAATCTTAAAATGTGTTACCAAGCCTGGTGCTGGGTAGAACTTGCTGTCTTTGAAGCAGCCATTATGCTATCTTTTGTAAGTGGTTTCGTTTCAATGAGTTTTAGATGTCTGTCTTGTTTTCTTAAAACACTTGCTGGGGAGACTTTTTAGCATGATTTAGATCCTTCTGGATGTGGAGATGCCTGAATGTTGGGAAGACAGACGGCAGCTGTGCTGTTGGAGAAGGGACAGCGTGGAAATCTTCCTTTGCTAGAAGCTGGTTTTCTCTTTCTTTCCTGCCTGTTTCTTCTTCCCTCCTCTGTGCCTTTTTCTTTGTCAGACAACAAATCTTTATTGCTCATTTCTGATGAGCCTTCACTTTCTTTCCTCAGTCATGCGGAGGAATCCCTTTGGTGTGGACATCTGCTGCCGGAAGGGGTCCCGAAGCCCCCTGCAGGAACTCTACAACCCAATCCAGGTAAGCTTCGAGTACTCTGTCAGCATGTGAACCTTTTTTTTTTTTTGGTGGGGATGGATACTAAAAACTCCAAAATTGTGGTCTTTGGGGGATTTAAAACTTCCTTTCACAGCCCAGCATTTTACCTTCAGTGGTTGCTTTCTTCGTCACCCTTGTTCTTTGTAGCATCTCTGAAAATTTCTAGCAGGGGATGTTTAGAATTAAAGAAATGCCTAGGCTCAGTGCTAAGCGTTCAGACCTGCCCAGGGTTTGAACTCCTGAGATTAATACAGTCTTAAGTCCGAGCAATGGGACTCAGAAATTAAAGGGCCTGCGAGGCTGTGCAGTCTTCTCGTTGGTATCCCCAAAGGAAGAGTTGCACATGGGTACACTTGACACCCACTCCCACATCCCACATATTAAAGCCCAGTGATGCCCCACCTCACTGTGCCAGTTTGGCAAACTCCCTTGTGAGCAGGGACCTTTTGCTAAGTGACTGCCTCAGTAAATCTAACTTGTTAGTTTAATGAGGTAGCAAACGTGGCCTCTGTGCCATCAATTATGAAAAGCGCTCCTCTTTGAGCAAAAAAAAATCCAACCAAGGAAAAGTGTCTTCTGTGGAAAGCTAGTGCAAAGTTAGGAGGCCTGGTTGCCATGGCAACAGCCTCAGTGGCGTGTGTGGGTCCTGATGTGGAGACTCTGGGACTGATCCTTTCGTAGGAACATTAATTAGCATTTGATGCCCAGAACTGGTGAGTGAACAACTAGCAGCAGCATCAGTGGACATTCGATAGCTGTAGAGAAAGAGGGAAAAATGTACTGCTTTGGCTACAGTCTCTGACTAAATTTAATACTTCTTTGGACCAAGGTACCTGGTGGAAGAAGATAATGCATGGGCCTCAAAGGTGTCGAATTTTTAGAACTCTTGCAAAGGGATGCACTCGAGAACTACCTGGTACCCCCTACCACCCTTCCCAATCTCTCACCTCCACTCCCTTCTGGAAAAATAGACTCCTGAGTTTATGCATCATGGGTGGCCTAATTAGGTTAACTCATGCCCTGTCTTGAGGTGTGACTTGGCCAGATTAGTCCATTAGTTGCCACATCAGTATTGCCTGAGGCTTGCTGTACTGGGTTCTGTGGTGACTCAGTGGGGAATTTGATAGTTGGGTTCCCTTTGGTGCCCCAAAAACTCTGCATATGATAGGCAGGTCTTCCAGCCTGTCCACACACATTCTGTCCTAAGGAAGAGGCAGAACTGTGTTTCAACAAAGGATGGGATATCTGGTAACCTGTGTTGAAAACAACACAGGCTCCTCAGATGCAAACCATTCCCATCTTTTTGTTGATATCCTCTGTTCTCAGAGCATTTTCTCCTTCAATACAAAACTGCTGAAACACTGCTGCAGATTTTATGGGTAACATATGGTGTCATGGGAAAAGCTATTTCTGAAGTCACCGCCCCTGTGGATGGAAGGTCCATGGACTGCGTCTGTCCTATTCACTGTTGGCTCCTCAGTACCTAACACAGGGCTCTCAAATACTTGTGATTCAAAACATGAAAGTCCAGGTTCAAATCCTGACTTCATCTCTAACTAATTGTGCAACCCTGAATATATGATGAGTTCTCTTTAGAGGTCAGTTTTCCTACCTAAAACTCTCCCCGGAATGTTGGGAGGATGAAATAATTCTGATGTGTCAGGGGCTCTGTCGGTATGATTTGTCATTTTTGTGGTCCAGAGGATGGCTTCCATATCAGAAGCCTTGACTTAGGAGTGAGACCTAGGGTTCAAAGCCTTATTTCATCATTTCTTAGCTATGTGACTGTGGGGTGTTTACTTAACCTCTCTGAGATTTCTTTCTTTGATTTATAATGTGGCATGAATAATACCTGCCTTGCAGTGTTGCATGTAGTGATGTGTCTTGCTTGGAGCTTCCTGTAGAGTTTGTGCCTTCAGGGGTTGATTCACTCCTTTTTCTCATTCATTTCTTCATGTGCTGTTACATGTGCCTAGGAACATATAGCTTAGTAGCTTAGCAGCTTAGCACTAGGCGCTGGGCACAAAAGAGTGGAGAGGGTGTGTGCTTAGCCTTTTGTGGCTGGTAACTCTGGGCTCAGGGTTGAGGGGAATGAGTTGACTGGCGAGGCAGACCCTGCTTGGTCCCATTGTAAACCAGTCAGAGAAGAGATGCCCGTCCTGGGTAGAGGCCCGCTCTTCCTTCCGGTAGTGTTCTGAGCATTGTCTGGATGACAGGCGTATTGAGCAGTAGCCTGGGACTTAGGAGGGAAGCTAGGGCTGGAGAGCAGCTCCGGGAGGCATTGGGGAGGGCGTAGGTGGGTGAGTCACCGTCCTCCCTCAAGGATGTCTTGGGCAAGTTGTCTGGCCCCATTAGCCAGCAACCAGGGAAATGTAGCTGCAGGAAAATCACCTCGTTTCCTCGGGATGTTTTTTCTTAGGCTGGTTTCCTTTACAAGCTGCAATTATGTTCCATCCCACGCAAGTTCAGTAAGTGGCACTTTTCAGAGAAACTGTCTTGGTGATCATTTGGGCCAGGGAGTTGAGGAGAGAAGGGAGTGAGAGCTTCTATTGAGTTAGTTGGTTTTGTGTCCACGAGCCATTTACAAACTTTGCACCTGATTGGGCTCTGTGGCAGTTTCTTGTATTTCCCTACCAGCCAAGCTGTTGAAGCTGCTGAGCCCGGAATGATGTTATCACTGAGGCAGATGACAAACCCTCTAGTTGCTAGAAACCAAACTGCTCCCCGAGCTGGCGTTTCCGCTTTTTGTACTGACTGCTTATTTGGGCTTGATATATAATGGTGAAAACAGGAACTGTTTATTTTAGGTGATAAGAAACCAACATTATGGCAAGAAGATGTCATCTTAGTTACTCTGTTATCAGTTACTTAGTTACTCTGTTATCATAGGCCAGATACTATCTAGATGCTTATAAACATCTTATCTAATCCTTGTAGTAATAAGCCCCAAGCTAGGTTTTATATCCCCATTTTATGGATGAGGGAACTGAGGCCACTAACTTCATACAGCTTACCCAAGGCCAAATAACTAGTAAGAAACAGAGTGAAATTCAACCCAAAAGCAAACTATAAATCCAAGTTTCTTTACCTCTATGCTGTACTTGCTGTTACCAGCAAAGTTCTCTTGGTGGGAGTTACCCCATCCCCTCTCCAAAAAAAAAAAAAAAAAAAAAAATCGAACCCAGATTTTCACTGGACAAAGAGTTGGGAAAATTGGGAAATTTTGGCTATAATCTGGGAAAATTGGCTATAATATTGGGAAATTGGCTATAATCTGATTTTAGTGTACCAAGTTCTTTATTTTAGTGTCCAAGATTTCCTTATTTTAGTGCCCTGCAAACCCCTAACCAATAAAACAACAATTGGTTAAGAAAAGTTTGGAGTTGATATTCTTAGAAAAACTGTACTCTGATGTCTTATAATTTTCCTGGTTCTCTGCTGTTTCCTTGGCCCCAAAATAAAATGTAATTGCCGATCAGATCAGCTGGAATCAAGTCACCGAAAGTTCAGGAGGTGTCAACTGCATATTTGTGGGCCGAGCACATCTGCGGCCCTCTCTGGCTCAGTTCAGAGGCACAGGGCAGAGCTGCATTGTCAGCCATTAATAGGGCCTAATTTCCCCTAAATGCCAGCTAGGGCGAGACAGCTTGTCCTTCTGCCTCACCCACCTCCTGGTCCTCTCGTGGGTTCCCTGAAATCTTCACAACGTCACTCATGTGGTTCAGCCCTGCCCTGCTTGGTTCTTTCTTTAGCATTTACACTTGCTCTGTGATTACCATGTTCCACGGGGAGGGACACACATAGCACAGGGCTGACCGTGAATTTGTAAGCACTGAGTCTAGGAGGTTTGCACAGGGCACAGCAGATCCAATTGTTCGAGGGGTCTCCGAGGATCAAACAGTGTTCAAGGAATTTAGAGGAATTCTGGGGAACTCTTTACGGGGCGGGGTTTGGGAGTGGGGGAAAGGCTCCAGGAAAACTGAGAATGACAAGATCTTGGAGGCCCCCACTGAAATCTCTGTTACATGGTGACTCTTTATTGATCAAGTCTTCAGGGTGCTAAAGTAAACTTATTTCTCTATCAGTTAGACTCCAGGAAGCAGGATGGGGAGGAGGAGAGAGGGAGGGAGAAGGAAGGTCAGAAGGAAAGAAGGATGAGAGAGAAAAAGGAAGACAAATTACTATTTACTAAATGTATAATACATGCCAGTGACCATTCTACATATTTGTCACCCACGTCTCATGGAATCTTTACAAGAACCCGTAGAGGAAAGTCTCCAGTAACCCCATCTTTTAGGTAAATTAACTGAGGCTCAGACGGTTGAGCAATGTGCCAATCACGCAGCTCCTGAATGAGCGAGCCAGGCCAATGTAGCCTGGCTAGGTTGCAGGATGAGGAGAGGCTTAGTGCTTTATTTTTCCCGGGTGAAAAAATGCTTCCTTGAGATTCTCTTTCCCACTGACTCAAGCCGAGACCTGAGGTGTGCTCAGGACTAGCTGCAAAATTCACAAAAGCAGGTGCCAGGACTTCTGGAATGGCATGGAATGGACAATAGCCGTCAACAATTGCGGGCCGGGCACAGTGGCTCACGCCTGTAATCCAGCACTTTGGGAGGCTAAGGTGAGCAGATCACCTGAGATCAGGAGTTCTAAACCAGCCTGGGCAACATAGCGAAACCTCTTCTCTACTAAAAATACAAAAATTAGCCGGGCATGGCAGCTCGTGCCTATAATCTCAGCTACTCAGAAGGCTGAGACAGGAAAACCTGGGAGGCAGAGGTTGCAGTGAGCTGAGATCGTGCCCGTATACCCCAGCCTGGGTAATAGGGTGAGACTATCTCAAAAATAAAATAAAATAAATAAAAATTGCAGATTTCTTTTTTGCTTACTGAACCTGATACATAGCCCAGTGAAGGACAGGCCTTTGTCTCCTGGCTGGAGCTGGCAGAGCAGGAGTCACCCCCGAGAATTCTGCCATGGGA